AGCCAAGACTATATTGCAAAACAGTTGAGCTTTCTTTGCTGTAGGTAGAAATTCACCTTTGTGTCACAATAATGTGTATATGATTTGAAAAAAAATATGGTTCATTCTTGATGTAGCCTGGTTGTAGGACTACTCTCAGTATTAGACATGTCAGAAATTTCCACTGACCTTTCCTTATTTTTTAAAATGTTTTTAATTGGTTTGTCACTTTTTAAATTGTGGGGCCAAATAGATATATATTCTTTTAATTGTTTTTAATGTTTGTATTTTATGTTTCTTATTTGTGGCTGTACACCGCCCTGAGTCCTCCGGGAGAAGGGCGGTATATAAATTCGAAATAAATAAATAAATAAAATAAAATTTTCCATCAGATGCAACCAACCCAAACGATATGGACTGACGACACAGGTGGTCTCAACAGTATTCGTCTTGAATGTACCGATGGGACAATAATTGAAACTAAGAGTGGACGGTAAATTGGATTTGCTTCACTTCTTTTGTTGCATTTGTTTTCTTGGAAATCGATAGGAAGAGCAGGTTAATGGGAAATCAGCTTTGCTGATTGAAAAGCAAATGATACTAATTCCAAATCTTTCTGATTGCTTTTGAATGACTGGAGTCTACTGGTGGTTATTTTATAGAGTGTAGGTTTTCACGGCTGCTATTTATGGGTGAAATGACTTCTGAGTAATGTAATAAAATGAGTATCTGCCAATGTCCAGACTGAACTTGGCAACAGTAATCATATCAGTCTGTAAAGATTCTCAGTCATCCAGGTCATGGTTGTCCCAAAAGTGCTTTTTCAGGAGGCAACTGGACCAGTGGTGGGTTTCACTTACCTTTGCTACCAATTCGCTCACGTATTTGATGATGTCCGGCCAGGTGGGTGGAGCCTCCTGCTGCCGCTACTACTGGTTCGCCCGAACTGGGCTGATCTGGTAGCAACCCACCACTGAACTGGACTTTTTTGTTTTTTCTTTTGAAGATGTTTCGCTTCTCATCCAAGAAGCTTCTTCAGCTCTAACAAGATAGTGGGAAATGGAAAGATTTATACAGTGGTGGGCTGCAAATTTTTTAACAATTGGGTTCTCTGCCCTAATGACTGGCTGGGTGGGTGTGGCTGGGTGGGTGGGCGTGACTGGGTGGGTGTGGCTTAATCTCACTTACATTGAGGAGCGCTTTGCCTCGCCTGCCCTCTCATGACCGTGAGGATGCTGCAACGGTCATAAGTGTGAAAAATGGTCGTAAGTCACTTTTTTCAGTGTCCCCGTAACTTTGAATGGTCACTAAATGAACTGTTGTAAATCAAGGATTATCTTTACAAAAATACAAAAAGCTTCTTTGCTTGCAAAAAGCTGCCCTAAATACCAGTCATTAGATTAGAAATGGGGGAATACACACTGAAGGTCAATGAGCCACAGCCGTCATGGAAACCTAAAGCATTCTGTCTGAATACCTTCCTTTTCCTCAGCAATACCTGCAACCCGGAGTTACAAATCAGGCAGGTTGCCAAAGCACATTGAGGAATTAAAATAGTTAAAATACAAGGATAACTATCATCAGCCAAGTTACTCTTGCTCATAAAGTGAAACCCTTTACCAGAGAGAGTCATTTAAGCTCTCTAGAAAGTGGGTGGACATATTTGGGCTACAAAATGCTGAGCTGAAGAGACAAATTAACAAATTAACATCTTGAGTGAGGGCTAATCCCATTCTGCCTTTGTTCAGACCTTGTTGCAGGGAATTTTTGCCTATGTGGGCTGCTTTCTCCCTCTAAGAAAACATGTTTCTCCATTTCTCATTCAGGAAAATACATTCTTCATTTTTAATATTTCTCAAAATATTTCATTCTTCTAGTTGAGGGCTGGGTGCTAACTTTCTACAATTGGTGCCATGTTACTATGCCATATTATCATGAGAGAAAACTAAAACAAATTGGACGGAGGATCCACTTATTATCCATGAGCAATCATGTGCCTTGCCCACTCCTAAGCAATGCAAGAGACTCCTGTCCCAAGGGTGCTTTTTCAAGAGGCAACTGGACTTTCTGGAAACCAAGAAAGTCCAGTTGCCTCTTGAAAAAAGCACCTTTGGGACAACCATGACCTGGATGACTGAAGAATCCCCATAGACAAGAGACTCCTGTGTTCAGTGAGCTGACAAAGCACAGTTTCCCACCCAGGAGAAGCAATCATTAGATCCATTTGCACCACTTAAAGATACCAGCTGATCTCACTCACCTCACAAGATATCCTTAGGTAATCGTCCAGATTTAAGGAAAGATCACATGCCCCCAGAAAGGCAGTAAAAAAATCAGACAGAATGCCAAGCTTGCATTCTGCCTCTCAGCCATTTCTTCTATGGCTATGCCAAGCCTTCTGTAAATAGTTGTTCCAGCTGTGTTGAAAGTATACTCCAAAAAGCATAAAACAACCCTTTAACAATCTTTAAGAAAGTCAAGCTCCATGTCAACTTGCAAAACTTTCAAGTTGCCATGAGGAGGAGGGAGGGAGAACTGAAGTGAATTCCATACATTCTTTCTGATCGCAATCAGAAGGAGGGTGTTAGGTTTCACAGGCAGCCAAAGTGGTTAATTGGAGAATGTGATTTATGACATGGCCAGAGAGGAGTGGAGAGACAGGGTCATAGGGGAACGTAAATCTACGTAGGATCAGTCCTAACTGCATCCGAGTATTGCCGGAATGGTGCTCCTGATAAATGAATATATTTCCTTTGAAGTTTGGATCATGGCTCATGAATTAATTAGGGTATCTTTCGGAAACTTGACACTCCAGGAATAAAAGTATCACAAAAAACTTGTGGGGGGTGGGGGGGATTCCAGAGAAACTTAGTCTACAGACAGAAAGTCTGGGCATTTACAATGTAACAAGCTTAACCCAGAGGCAGTTTCTGAAAACACTTAAAGCAGCAGGGCAATTAAAATAAGGATTAGGCTAGAAATACAGGCGTACTAGAATGTTTCCTTCCTGCCTCCCTTGCAGGAGTAGCCCTGTAAAGTGGAAAAAGATTTCTTCCAACAACCAGTTCAGGAGAAGCGGTGCGAACTGGTAGCAGCCCACTTCTGGATTTATATTCCTTGCAGACAGCTGGTATTTGCATCCTTTTAGAGGGTTGTTGAAGCACTTGAAGGTTTATCTGTGCCTTCAGGATCACATGAGTAGTGATCCTGGTTCCTGTAGTCTATAATTATTTTCCTCTGGAAATCCATTCCTACTCCCACATCATTCAAAGGGTGTTCATCCCAAATTGTATAGCTAAAAGTCTTTTCTTTTCAAGAAAGACTTTTGCCTCCTGAAAAAGTCTGTAGAGCTCATCCAGGCCATGTTTGTCCCAAAAGTGCTTTTTCAGGAGGCAACTGGACTTTCTGTTTTTTCGTATGAAGATGTTTCACTTCTCATCCAAGAAGCTTCTTCAGCTCTGACAGGTTAGTGGCAAATGGAAGGATTTTTTAAAAAACAAGAAAGTCCAGTTGCCTCCTAAAAAAAGCACCTTTGGGACAACATTTGTCATATTCTTTTCTATCGCCTGTGAGGAGAACGGCTACAACTAACGGTTAACTGTCACATAGCTGACATATGATAGCTTTCCTCTGTATTTAAATTGTTCAAGGAAATATCACAGAAGCATGGAGTTGGAAGGCACATCTCAGGGCATCTATGTTTCCTTCTTGGAACAGAATCTGACAAAGCATTTTGGACAAATGGCTGCGTCGGATGAGGAGAGCACATCTTTCTCCTTCTGTCCTGGCCACTCTCAATCGAGATTGAGAGTGTTTTAACAAACTGCATCACCGTTTGGTTTGGTGGCAGCAGTGCCTCAGATAGAAAGTCCATACTGAGAGTGGTAAGGACAGCCGAGAAGATTATAGGAAGCTCGCTTCCCGTCATTCAAAAGACATGCTTATAAGAGCGATGTGCTTAAAGCTCGAAGCATTGTTAGAGATCCCACACACCCACTTCATGGACTGTTTCTGTTGCTCCCCTCTGGGAGGAGGTTTTGAAGTATTTCTAGCAGGACTACCAGATTCTGTAACAGCTTTGTTCCTTATGCCACCCGTCTGTTAAATACGCAAGATTCGTTTCTCTCGCCATGTACATGTACACATCCAAAATAGACTGTGTTGTTGCTCCGTGTCATATAATATATGTGGATATATGCATAGTTTTGTATTTATTTATTTAGTCATGTTTATGTAGTATACATTGGAGGTGGAGAGCCTTTGAGACCTGTATGCAATGAAATTCCATTTTTTTGATTGATTGATTGACTGATTGATTGATTCAATTTATATGCCACCCTTCTCTGGAGACTCAGGGCGGCTTACAATGCGCTAAGCAATAGCCTTCATACTTTTGTATATACTGTACCTGCTTAGTAGGGCTTTCGCCCCCCCCCCCAGCGGTGTTCTTTTCTATACAAAGTCAGCTTATTGCCCCCACAAACCAGGTCCTCATTTTACCTACCTCGGAAAGATGTATTTAATGTATGCCGATTAGTATACATTCGAAGTGACAATAAACTGATTCTAAGTCTAAGTCTAGCTTCTGTTTTGAAGACTCCAGTGAGAGAAAACTCACTACTTTATGAGTCAGCCTTTTCCTTTGGCTGATAACTCTTTCCATCAGAAAATTTCTCCTAATAACTGGAGAACCTTATCTCTTTCTGATACTTTAAACTCACTGGCTCTGCTCCTGTTCTACAGGATGCCAGAGAACAAAGCTGACTTTGTATAAATATTCAAAAGTATGAAGGCTATTGCTTAACGCATTGCAAGCCGCCCTGAGTCTCCGGAGAAGGGCGGCATATAAATCAAATTAAAAAAAAAAAATGCAGTTCCTCTATATCAGTGGTCCCCAACCTTTTTATCGCCGCGGACCAATCAGCCTTTGATAATTTTACTGTGGCCCGCTGAGCGCGCGCAGGGGTGGGGGGCGTTGTTCGCGATGACACATTGATTGTTTATATATCAGATTGTTTTGATTAAACAACTTTTATTTTATTGTATTTAAACATGCCTTACAAAATAAAATACAATTACATAAATATAAAGTGCTTTAACATTTTAACAGTTAAACTTTAACTAAGCGCTCTAGTTACTAGAATCTAGTGAATCAATGAGAACCCTGAGCTTGTTTTTCTGCAACGAGACGGTTCCATCTGGGGGTAATAGGAGACAATGACACCCGAAGTGTCTTGCTTATGTCCAGTTTATTTCGTTGTTTTATTTTGGTTGCTGTCACTGCAGAAAACCCCGCTTCACACAGATAGGATGTTGGAAAAGGCAAAAGGGACTTAAGAGCTGTAGTGGCAATCTCAGGATATTCCGCCATGACTTTAATCCAGAACACCGGCAGAGTTGTTGTCTCAAATACAGTTTTAAGGCCGCCGTCATTTGCAATCTCCAGCAGTTGATCTTCTTCTTGTACAGACATGCTACATTCATCTGGTTTGTTGACAAATGGGTCGCGGATCCATTCCTTATCAGTTCGTGGGTCTTTTGTGGTTGGGAAGTAGCGCTCAAACTCTTCTAAAAGCAAAGACAGGTGATCGTGCACCAACTGGGAGAATGAACGCTCAGGCTCAGTCTCTCCTAAAATCCCCGCTAATGTCTGAAACATGTCCAAAATGCCTCTGTTCACACGCCGTCCCCACAACTCCAGTTTGGCTTTAAATGCAGCTACTTTGTCAGCCAACTTGAAAACAGTTGTCATTTTCCCCTGAAGGGACAGATTGAGTTCATTGAGCAGGCTAAATATGTCACACAGGTAAGCCAGTTTTGCAAGCCATACCTTGTCACTGAAATGTGCTGCCAGTGGTGACTTCTTTTCTGAGAGAAATCTTTGCAATGGCTCTCTTAATTCAAACACCCTGGATAGTGATTTTCCTCTGGATAACCATCTTATTTCTGTGTATAAGAGAAGGCATCTGTGCTCTGTGTCCATCTCCTCACAAAGCTGCTCAAATAGACGCGAGTTAAGGGCGTTTGCTTTGATGTGGTTAATAACTTTAACCACATCATTCAATACACTGTTAAATTCTGGTGACATTTTTCGGCTTGCCAGCATTTCCCTGTGAATGATACAATGTGTAGATTCGCACTCAGGTGCAACCTCCTTAATCCGAGCGGTTAAACCAGACAGCCGTCCGGTCATGGCAGCAGCTCCGTCTGTGCATATGCCGACACAAAAGGACCATTTTAGTTGTCCTGATATATAACCATCCAGTGACTTGAACAGTTCTGCTCCTGTGGTGTTGGTTGGCAAAGATAGTGCACATAATAAATCCTCATGCACATCCTCCTGATAAAGATATCGCACATAAACAAGTAGTATTGCCTTGTTGTCGATATCTGTAGATTCATCAACCTGTAGTGCGTACCACGGTGAAGTATTAATCCTCTCCAACAATTGTGTCTCAATGTCTTCAGCTATTTCATCAATGCGCCTAGTCACGGTGCTAGCCGACAAAGGCACATTTGCTACCTTTTTTACAGCAGCCTCTCCTAAAAGTTCACGACAAATGTCTTTAGTGGAGGGCAAGATCAATTCTTCACCGATAGTGAATGGCTTTTTAGCCTTAGCAATACGGTTAGCCACCAAATATGATGCTCTCAGAGCATTCTCCTTTATTGCTGTGGTGGCCCTCAGAAATATCTTCTGTCCTTCGTGTTCCCTTTTTTTTCTTTCAAAATACTGCAGGGGTTTGTCTTTTAATCCAGGGTGCTTGGCATTCAAGTGGCGAAGCAGTTTTGAGGGTTTCATTGCCTCATTAGAGAGCCGCTCACCACAAACTATGCAGAGCGGGGTTGGCGCGTGGGAATCACCTATCCCAATAAATCCATATTTCAAGTAGGACTCATTGTATTGTCTGTTAAAAGTTTTATGTTTCTTTGATGCTGTTGCAAAACTACAACTCCCAGCATACCCAGACAGCCTCTGGCCCTCCAGGCATGCTGGAAGTTGTAGTTTGGAAACAGCTGGAGGCACCCTGGTTGGGAAACACTTGGACCTCCTCAGTCAATTACCAGGACCACCCCCCAAAAAAACATCGGGGTCCTTCTCATCGACTCCCGACCCCCCCCGCCCGCCTCCCCTTCTTCATCCCGCAGTCCCCTCACATATACCCCCGGCAGGTTCACTCACCCTTTCTAGCAGGCCTGTGCGGGATGGTAGATCACTGCAGGACCTTATCTGTCGCCGCAGCGCTCTGTAGAGGCGCAGGAACACCGGGGAGACGTCTTCTGAGCAAGGCGTTTTCTGTAGAGCCGCAGGGAGACTGGGAGACGTCTGCAGGGTCGCAGGTACACGTCAGCTTTGGGCCACACGTGCGTACCTGCGCGGGGCTCTCTTCCCTGGAGCCTTTGCGCACGGCCCAGGAGCCTTTGCGCTGCAGCGTTCATGTCCCCCGGCCGCTGCAGCGATCATGTCCCCCGGCCGCTGCAGCGATCATGGCCCCCGGCTGCTGCATCGATCATGGCCCCCGGCCGCTGCGCGGCCCAGTGCCAGGTACTCCACGGCCCGGCACCGGTCCGCGGACCGGGGGTTGGGGACCACTGCTCTATATGACAATGGTTTAGATTTTCTAACCTTGCTGTCATCTCTCCTCTCAGTCTTTTCTGTGAGCTAAGCTTAAATATTTTCTGTTCCTGTTCAGGAATGTCATCTGCTTTTGACCATTCCTGATTCCAATAATGGGTTCCAACTATTTTTCTCCTCTTACCACCCCACTTATTTGCAAAGGAAACCACAATATTTTCCCAAACACCTATCCTCCCTGTATAAGAACATTAATATTTTCATCTTGGTTGGTGCTTCATTTTCATTTACATTGAGTTTGGTAACATAAAATGTCACTGAGAGTGGTAGTAGGCTACCTACTGCTGCATGATTAAAGGGAAGGTAAACTTGTCACAATAGTGAAAAGTATATTTTTTTCAGGCTTGCTCAGAAAAGATGGAAAGTGAGAAGAAAAAATGCACATGCTCCCAGAATGGATTTTATTTATTTATTTATTTATTTATTTATTTATTTATTTATTTATTTATTTATTTATTTATTTATTTATTTATTTTATTTCTATACCGCCCTTCTCCCGAAGGACTCAGGGCGGTGTACAGCCTGATTAAAAGCACAAAGATAGACAAAATTTAAAAATAATTAAAATTATTAAATAATAGGCCCAATTTATAAAACCCCAAATTTAAAATCCCATTTAAAACCAATTAAAATCTTTACATTGATAGCCCAGCCTGGCGGAACAACAAGGTTTTGAGGGCACAGCGAAATACACGGAGATCAGAGATTTTACGAATTTCTGGGGGGAGTTCATTCCAAAGGGCAGGGGCTTCCACAGAGAAGGCCCTCCCCCTGGGTGTCACCAGCTGACATAATTTGGCCAATGGCACCCTGAGGAGACCCTCTCTGTGGGAGCGAACTGGCCGGTGGGAGGCTTCTGGTGGCAGAAGACGGTCTCGAAGGTATCCAGGTCCAATGCCATGGAGAGCTTTAAAGGTGGTAACCAACACCTTGAATCACACCCGGAAGACCACTGGGAGCCAGTGCAGCTCGCGCAGGAAGGGTGTCATGTGGGCACAACGAGTTGTGTCCATAACCACCCGCGTGGCCGCATTCTGGACCAGTTGGAGCCTCCGGGTGCTTTTCAAGGGGAGCCCCATGTAGAGAGCATTTCAGATTCCCCATCCCCTATGCAGGCCTCCCTTGGATATAGGCTTCTTGCCTTCAAATAAGCAGTTCAAATATGCAGATGGATTCTACCGGTTCGCATTGGTTCAAGTGAACCAGTTGTTAAATTACCCACCCCCTGCTATCAAAGTGGATCCTGGGTGCTGCGCTGCAATGGAGAAATGGGCAATGCAATGGTAGGTACAAGGGAAGGAGAAGGCCATTTCTCCTCTTTCTTCTCCCTGCTCCTCCTCCTTCTTTCGTGCTGGCCCCTCCGTTGTCCGTTTCTCTGCATGCAGCTCCACAAGGACGGGGGAACTCTCCCTCCACTTCCCCCCAATTCTTCACCTTCCCGTGTTAACTCTCAGGAGCATCAACTCATTGTCTCTATGGTAACATCTCTCCTACTTGTTCCTCAGAAACCTCGCCTCTTAAAGGAGTCATGACCAGAAATTTGAAACAGCATGAGACCAATGTGCAGACATAAACCCTTGGAAACAGCCTTTTGGCAAAGGGTGGAAATTTAAGAACCGCATATGTTGCGGAGCTGGAGGATGGGGCTGGGCCATGCCTCCCATGACAGTAAGGTGACCAGACATCCCACTTTTGGCGGGACAGTCCTGATTTTTAGCAATTTGTCCCACGTCCCGCAGTGTTTTAAAAAAGTCCCGATTTTTCATTCTGCCTCCTGAGTCCCAGCTGATGGCTAGAGGGAAAAAAACTGTTTAAACTCTTGCCGCGGGGCTTCAAAGGGCCGACCTACAGCTGTTCTGTGTTAAAAGAAAACAAAAAGAGTAGACCGATGCCTGCAAAAATAGAAAAAACAGCCCCCTACAGCTTCCGCATAGGTTAATTAGCACGTTAATTAGCTCGGCTTCCCCACTCTCAGCTGATTTGCTCTCAGCTGTTTTGCGCAGGGCTCTTGCTGCTTGCTAAATTGCTCGAGCAGATTTTTTTTTCTCCTTGTGCAAACCAAGCTCAAAAGGAAACTGAAAGTAAAACAGGCTGTTGGCTTTGCTGTTTTCTCCAACGTTGGAAAATTAGGCAGCAGATTTCTTTTCTTTTTCCTCACCAAAAAAGGTAGGTGCAAACAATGGGAAATTTAGGGCAAAAGAGGAGAGTTCAAGATTTTAAAACACAAAAGAAAAAAAGCTCTATTTAACTAGGGAATTGTAATAATTGAGATACTATTAATTGTATATTGTGATGAAAGCAGAAATGGTTAAGTTGTGGTTTGGAGGAATATATGGGGGAAATTATTTGGTTTATTATTATTGGTAAATATAATTAATTGATTTGTAAGAAATTGGATTGCATAGAAATAATTTGAATATTCATGTTCATATTGATTAATATACAAAAAAGATAGTTATATAACTAATTGATTTATATTAAAATGTTGAATTTGTATTAAACAACTATATTACATAATTACATAATTAACCAATGTGAGGATGGATATAAAAATAGATGACAACGGGAAGGGGAATAATATAGAATAGAAGGGAAAAATTGAATTTGATTAAGATTAGAGATGAGGATGAAGGGTAATATTGTTTTTTTAAAAAAAATAGATGAGGAATAAATATGGCAAAAAGGAAATATAGAAATTGTAAATTTAATTGAAATGACTAAACACTGTTTAAATTTGTGAACCGGCCAAATACTCTGTTCAAAGAAAATACATTGTATGTTTGTATGTGTGTTTCTAATTATTGCTATTTATTCATATTTGTTCTCTTTTATTCTTTAAAGTTTAACAATTCATTCTTTATCTTAATATCTTTATATTTGTTTGGGGTTGGCTTTCTTCCCTTTCATCTTTTTTATTGTACAGCAATCTTTCTCCTCAAACCTACCACCTCTCTCTTTTCTTTCCTTCTTACTTTCTCTTCCCCCCACCCTCTTCTTCTCCTCCCTACTTCCTCTTCCTTTCTCCTTCTCCTCCTCTCTTCCTCCCTCTCTTACCCTCATTCCTACTCTAATTTCCCTTCCCTTCCTTCATCCCTCTCTATTGCTGTATCCTTTTATGCATATGGATTACTTAGAGGGCTGAAAAAGTTATTTTTGATTGGTCCTCGCACTTTTGACCAGTCCTCGAACTTCTGACTGTCCTCACATTTTACGTTTTTTGCCCTATCTTATCACCATGGTGAAGAGAAGCAGTTGTGAAATGAGTGACATGGTTGTTAAGAATGCTGCACGGGCATAAATGTGAGGATTGTCATAAGTGTGAGGACCAGTCAAAAGTGCGAGGACCTGTCAGAAATGACTTTTTTCAGCCCTCTGAGTAGTCCCTATACACATAGCCATGGCCACCCGGTCACATGACCAGCTAGCCATGCCCACCCAGTCACATGACCTCCAAGCCACACCCACAAAATAAGCCACGCCCACAATGGTGTCCCTCTTTACCAATGTTAAAATCTGGTCACCTTACATGACAGCCAACCTGACCCTGGATGAACTGTTTGTTAAATTATTTGAATTCGACCACTGGTTATACCCAGAAAAGCTTATATACATTCTGATCATTACATTGAGACTGAAGCTATTGGATGCAGCGTTGATCCATATTTTCATTTAAACTTCATAATATTTATATTCTCTATGATTAAGCCCTAGATATTAGGAAGAATGGAACTACACCTGACTCATGTTATTTCTGCTTCTTGATGATTCACAGATTCTTGATCTTAACTCATTTTGAAATGAAAAATGTTCTTTTTTTTTTTTAACAGGTGGGGAAATTGGACAGAATTTCAGGAATGCCCCATAGGCAACTTCGTTTCTTTTTCTCTCAACATGGTAGAATTCAAAGGACTACTTGATGATAAGGCAGTTAATAATATCCAATTCAGTTGTAAAGAAGGAACTATACTAATGGGAACGTCACATAATGGGCAAAAATTTGGTCCGTGGAGCAAACATTGCCGTATTGGCTCCATATGTGGAATCCAGGCAAAAACTGAGGAAGTTCAAGGCCGGGGAGATGATGCAACGATCCGTGATATGAAGTTCCTCTGCTGTGTTTGAACCAAAAGTGTGTGGTACCACTAAAGCACATCTGCCTGTGTTCAATTGGCTTTGTTTGACATGAATTAATCCTTTAACACAATTAATCCTTTAACTAGGAGTTTTATGTGATTTAACAGTTCTGTTGCAAATAGCATGGTAAACTAAATTAAAAACGAATTGTTTAATTTTTATCTATACCAATGGTGAAATGTAAAATTTGTTACTACCGGTTCTGTGGGCGTGGCTTGGTGGGGGGGGGTAATGTAACTGGGTGGGCATGGCCAACTTTTTTTTTTTACTTTTAAAAGCATTTTTTTCTACAACCTCTTTGGCTAAAGAGGTTGTAAAACAAATGCTTTTAAAAGGCTCTGACGATCCCAGCTGAGTTGCCTGATCGTCAGAGGCTTTTGTTTTCTTTTAAAAGCATTTTTTTTTTGCTTTTAAAGCATTTTTTTTTTTTGCATTTTTTCTTGGATGAGAAGTCAAACGTCCTCAAAGGAAAACCAGAAAGTCCAGTTACCTCTTGAAAAAGCACATTTGGGACAACCATGACCTGGATGACTGAGAATCTCCATATACATAAAGTTATAGAAGCATAATGCCTTTGTTTTACTGCATCATAAAGAAAATACCTCTAAATCAGGGGTATCAAACTCAAGGCACGTAGGCCGGATCCAGCCCATGGAGTCACTCTGGAAACAACAAAGGATTGGCCACGGTGCCTCTGCCAGTGAAGGGTTGCAGGAAACTGTTGCAGCCAAAAACGGAGCCTGGGAGCCTGTTTCACTGGCAGACCACTCAAGCCACCAGAGGCACCCCTGACAAGAGTCAGAGCGAGTTGGTCATTCCCACCTCGGCCCCCTGAGGTCAAACACTCTTCTTCACTAATACAATTGTTGGGCTGTTTTCTGCAGAGGTCCATATAATCCAACCAGAATGATCTGTTCCAAGGACATGTTCTCTTCAAGTCATCAATTACACTAAATATGGCAGACTGACTTAAACTGATAAAAATAAGTTTCCATGAGATTATGGCTTTTACCAAGAAATAGTTCAGCAATTTGTTATGACAGTTAATTTTTAGAAAGCATTTCAGCAATTAATTTCAGCAATTTCTTTAAAAAACACTGTTTGAACACTTAGCTTCAGTATTGGTTTCAGATTTGCCTAGATAATCCATTTCAAAACGTAAAGACAGTAAATGTAGAGTTAGTAGAATTTCTTGGTTAACTCTTCTGGAGGACACCATCCTTCCAGAGGAAGACATGCAGATTGTTGAACTGAATGGCTGTGGTGCCAAGACTATATGAGATAATAGGGGGGAAATATTTAAATAAATAAATAAAAATGTGTACATTTTCAAAATTCAGAACTTAATAGGCTAATGTGCAAATTTTCCAGGGCATTTTACATACTTTTTTTTTTCTTTCCAAGGAAAAACATTTTGCATAGTCACAGTGGTTGAGTTGCTCCATCTCTGCAGACGTTTTTGGAAGGACCATGTAATAATATGATTAACATGGACACATGATTAATAATTTCCTCTTCCCTCCAATACCACACACACAGAATTGTGTGTTTTACCCATTTTAGTAAAAAGAAGGAAATCTATTCTTTCTAGTGGCTGGAATTCATACATGATGGTGTCCCATAATATGGTCTGTTTGACTTAGTGCTATGTGAGCTACTCTTGTGCTGTGCAAACTATGGCTTATTGCAGAAGTAGGCAACTTGATCTCCAAGTCTCTTATGACTAATTATTAAAAATTAGTACCTTGACTTCCTGTTATTCCAAGTATAGAAATATATGAAATCTCTGTGGGTGATCAACTAATGCAAAAGTTAGGGAGTGAAACTAATAGTCTGGGTTCTTATGTGTACCAAACAATAAACATTTAGAATTGACCCTGCCCCTATTTCTCATCTTGCCTACAAATAGTTCTCCATTTAAAGTCCTTCCCATTCTGGCTATAAGACAATTAACTGCAGGAAGACAGTAAGTGGAGCTGCAGGGGCTGCAGAGAGCAGGGAAGGGAGACCAGAGGTTGTGACTGAGTCAGAATTACATACATCTAGTTGTTTACAAAAGTAAAAAACTTGGTTCAAGTGGAATATGAATAACTCTTTTTGCTCTAAGAATAGTGTGACCATAAATGTGAGAGATGGTTGAGAAGGAAGGAGAGACTGAGAAATTAAGGCAAAGAAAAAGAAAAGGCTAAAGAGTCCATAGAGTGTGAAAAGCTTCAAGTAATAAAGGAGAAAAATACATTAAGGCAGCTGTCCCAAGCTACGTTTTCACTGGCTGAGGGTTGCAGGAATCTGTCGTAGCTAAAAGCACAGCTCAGGAGCCTGTTTTCGGTGGCAGAGCACTTGAGTTGCCACAGGCGCCCCTGACACAAGTGACATCGAGCTAGCCATGCCCACCA